TAGCCCATAATAAACATGGGCAGTAAATCCTTCATTTTGAATGGAAAGGAAGAGGTGTGCAGTTTTGCTGAAAAGAAAATAAGTCTCCCTGCCTCCCCCGCCCCCACTGCCCCAAACCCCTCCTCACCCTCTCATAAATCAGGAAGGTATAAAATAATCCAGGGAAAATGGCTTGTAGCACCACCTCTCTCTGTGCCTACAGCTAGGCACTGCAGGCCAATGTGCCCAGTGCACCAGCTGTGCATGGAGACCCCTGCCAGCAGTGAGCCCACCAGCTTGCCGCTCCCAGCTGTTTCTAAGGTCACAAGTCCCTTTAGTCAGCCGAGCCTCTGGTCCCCACATGCTGTCCACTCCTTGGGCAGTAAAATAAAGATGCTCTTGAAACAAATGTATACTGCCAGCTTAGCCCCATCCAGCCTGGCTCTGTGACCTTGGCCCCACTTGACCTTCATTTGCTCATCTGTAGAATGGGTATCATACAACCTTGCCTGCACTAAGGAGATAGAAGTGTTTTGAAAAGTCAAGGACTTGGCCTGGCACAGTAGTCTAGCAGCTAGAGTCCTCGCCTTGCATGCACTGTGACCCCGTATGGGCACCAGTTTATGTTCTGGTGGCCCTGCTTCCAATCCAGCTCCCTGCCTGTGGCCTGGGAAAGCAGTAGAGGATGGCCCAAAGCCTTGGAACCTTGCAACCATGTGGGAAGCCTGGAAGAAGCTCTTGCTTTTGGATCAGCTCAGCTCCAGCTGTTGTTGCCACTTAGGGAGTGAACCAGCAGATGTAAGATCTTCCTCTGTCTTTCTTCCTCTCTGTAAATCTGCCTTTCCAATAAAAATAAATAAATATTTAAAATTAAAAAAAGGTCAAGAACTGCAAGCCACTCCATGGACTGGGGGTGGGAGAAGTGGTCCCGGCACACCTGCTATGAAGGAGGGGCTCTTCCAGGGGGTGATGATGGAGCAGGGACATCCATACACCCCTACCGCACCCTGCAGCTCAGATGGGGGGCTGCTTCATCTTGTTGTCTCATGTGCACTTCCCTTGGGCCACACCCCCCTTAGAGGGAACCTTCCTGTCTGCTCATCCTTAGGAGGATGGAAGCCCTATGATTGCTCTTAGACCTTGTGTGCCCAACCAGGCAGTTGCAGTGTGGAAGATGGGCCAGGAGCACAGCTTGGCACAAAGGACCAGTCAGGTGTGGGAGCTTCTGTCACTGTCAAGTGCTGTGGCCTCAGACATGTCAGCCACGGGCATGAGCCTGTATTTCTCACCAGTGCATTGATCCCTGCTGGATGTGGGATGCAGATGGAAAGAACCACGTGAGAACCAGATCTTCTGCAGGGTGGGCTCAGCAGGCAAAGTATGCCACTAACCCAGCAACAAAATACTAGGGCTCCAGATGCGGGGCTGAAGAGAAAAACTATCTGTGGCTGAGATAAAGACCCAGGAGTGCCTGCTTCCCAGGTCTGGCCCAGGCTGTGGCCTGGGCTACAGCCCTTGCCCGTTTTGTCCTGGGGCAGGGAACAGGGGCTGGGTGGGGGGCGGTGCACACATTCCAGCAGTGAAAGAACATCTGGATGGCCGTGGTCTTTGGCAGAGGAAGAAAGCTCAGAACGAATTGCACAGGAAGCCTGACAGGGGCCAGCTGAACTAGGGACCATGGGCTCCCGACGTGTCCTGGCAGGGCAGCTGAGAGGGTGGGGCTGGCTTCACCCAGTGTGGGCGCTTTGCCTGGGGTGCTCTCAGCGGGTGGGGTGCAGGCTGCCCAGCCTCCAGCCCACATGTCTAGTCCCAGCCCCTGGGCCAACCAAGACTGAGGGGCACTTCAAGGCCAAGAGGTGTGGCTGCCTTGCTTGGGGGAACTGCTCAGGGCAGAGTGGGGTGCATGCCGGGGCAGAGACCAGGGCCTGGCCAGCTGCTGGAGCCAGACCTCACCTCCCTTGCCCCAGGCCCACCACTCCCCTTCTCCCTGAGCTCGTGGGTGTCACTGTCTGCGACCACAGGGAGCACAGAGCTGCCCTGTGCACCCAGCTGGCTGCTGTCTAGCCCCATGCCCAAGGATACAAAGGAGAGCCACAGCCCTCCTCGCCCTCTGTGGTGCCCCTCCTGCTTCACCCCCATCCTCCCTGCAGCCACTCAGGGTACAGGTGGCTTGGAAACTGCAGATCTGGGCAGGGACAAAGTGGGTAGAACTGGGTAGGGGAGGGAGTCTGCAGGCTGCGGCCAGCCCGAGCTGAGATGTGGCAACTGGGAGCCCCAGACCTGCTGCAGGGAGCAGGACTCAAACAGGTGGACAGGGGTCCCACCACCAAGGCCAGCCATGGAGGACAAGAAAGCCAAGGTACTCAATCAGGTCTCTGGTCTGGGGCAGGTAGGCAGCCTCTCCAGTCTCCATCCAGCAAGGACCATGAAGCTAGCCATCAGGATGAAGTGAACTAACCAAAGTGCCCTCATGAGTGACAGGGTTTTATGACTGACGGGGCTGGGTTCACTTGCCAGCGGACACCAGGATACAGGGCTGGGACCATTCCTCTGTTTGTGACTTCACTCCCATTGCACAGATGAGGAAACTGAGCTCAGGGAGAGTGAGAGGCAGGCCTTTGCACCCCACCCCTGCCAATTCCAGGCACAGAGCTGGCTTGGGTCAGCTTCTCTGTGATTCCCCTCCTGGGAAAGCAGGTTAGGCAGATCGTTGGGAGGACTCTGAAAGCTCAAAGACTTCCAGACCCAGACAATGCAGGGCAGGCTCTTCCTGCCTCCCCACCCAGGCAGATCTTCTTTCTGTCTTGTTCCCAGTTCAGACAGGACCCTGCTTCTGGAAGACTGCTCAGATGCCCCCGCCCACAGGGCTCCTAGGCCTTGGGGTCCGTATACCTCATCTGTACTTGGTGCTGAACCCCACCTCTGAGGTGGTTTGTGTGGGTCTCAGTTCCCTGGTACACAGCCCTCTCATCAAACCCCTGAAGAAAAAGTCCACCTGCAGGGACAAGGTTCAAAGCCCCCTGTTTCTCACTGCTCCACAGGAAGACTTGACTGTTGCAGACATCTGGGGAGTGAACTAACTGATTCTCTCTCTCTCTCTCTCTTTCTCTCTCCTTTCTTCTTTCTTCTTTCTTATCCCTCTGCCTTTAATGAAATAAGCCAGAGACAGGTTTAAGGAAGGTAGGACTTTTCATGAAAAACATCTACAACATTGTCTTTGAAGGGACATGTCCCCAAGGGGCAAGAAGATGGGGCTCTGCAGATAGAATACGTTTCCCAGGAACACTTCTTACTTGACAAAGGGGAGTGCACTTGCCCACAGTCCCCTCACCCCACCCCGAGCATCAGGACACCACTGCACTCCCAGTGGCTTCTTGGGGATCTCTTTAGTGAATCATCCACCAAAACTGAGCCAAAACTTCCTGGTTCCACTGGCTGGAGCCCTTAACTGCCCACGACACAACACTGTCTTACTGTGCATCACACCTTGGTTCTGTCAGTGGTTAATGCCACAAATATGGACAGTGGCAACTGTGGCTGCTGGGCAGAGAGCTCTAAAACCTGGAGCTGAAAACTCTGACTGCCTCCCTGTTTTCAGGAGCTTGTGAGGTTGCAGAGAAGGCGCCAGTCAGAAAAGCTGTAACCCAAGGGCCTGAGTGCCACTGGGGATCCCCTGTCACGGCACAGCTAGTGTCCAGGGCTGGTGAGCAGGTGCTGGCTGCTAGCAGGAGGTCTCTGTTCTTACTACACAGACCTTTCCACAGGGATGTTTGGGCGCCCTCACACCTCCTTTGCAGCAAGCTCCCGCAGGAAGGAGTTTTCTCTTGTTGACACCAAATACTTTACAGAAAGGAGGTTCAAGTAGGTCATGGTTCTAGAAACCCTAAGAGCAGGACCAGGCCACAACACCTGCCTGTTTGAATGAGGGCCTATACAGCACCACCTCCTGGTGTTGAGTGGGAAACAGTGAGCACTGACCCACTCTTGCAAGGCTGGCTTTACTCTCTCCTGAGGCTCCCCTGGCTCTGAGCACCATGACATCAGGCAGAATCCATTCTGTGGCCTCACTTAGCTTGGTTGTGTCTGCTGACAAGCCATTCCACTTCTGTACTTATCTGGAGACTCAGATCCACTCCGCACTCCTGCTGAGGGCCCTGTAGGACTAACTGCCAGGTTCCCCTCAATCTGGCTAGAGGTAGGGTGGGGGATGACTTACATTCATGTTGAATTTAAATTTGTATTTTTAGGTAAAAAGTCTCACTGGTTCATGTATATTAGATACTAAAGATACTAGGCACACACATATTGTATGATTAGAGTTAGAGGGAGAGATCTTCCATCTGCTGGTTGACTCCCCAGATGGCTGTAGTAGCCAGGACTGGGCCAACCAAAGCCAAGAACTTCGTCCAATTTTCCCACGTGCATGGCAGCCCTCAAACACTTGGGCCATCTTACTCTGCTTTTCCACTATGCCACAACACCAGCTCCCAGGATATTAGCATTTTTTAACAATGAGATCAACAATTGCAAGTAGGAATAAAGTCAGGAAGCAAAACATGCAACAAGTTGTCCCCCCCCCACCACCTTTGCTTGCTGAAAAGGAACCTGAAAATGGGCCTGAGCTTCCTAGTTCCCAGTGCAAAAAGTGAATGCATCTGTGAGAGTTAGAGGGTACTTGCAGCAAAACAGAGCATTTGCCGGCAGGAGGTGCCACACAACCCTGCATGGAAGTCAGTCTTGTCCCTGCAGCATGCCCAGGGGAGAGGGGAGAAGGTGGCTTTCTTGTGGCTTTCGTCCTGGTTTTCCACAGATGCACACTGAGAAAGTGAAATTCAGGCAAGCAACTGTGAGATTGCCCAGTGGTTTTCCATAGCTGCCCATGGAGAAACCAGGAGTCTATAGCCCAGTGGCAAGGGAAGGCCCTGGCGTGGCGGGCACCAGCTCTGCTGCCAAGTCCACCCCATGTCTCACAGCCCACACACTAACCCCCATTTCCCTCCCCTTTGTGTGTGTATTCCCAGGGCTCTGGCTGAGAACATGGCCAGCGGCATTGACGAGCTCATTGGCATCCCCTTCCCCAACCACAGCAGCGAGGTGCTGTGCAGCCTCAACGAGCAACGGCACGCGGGGCTGCTGTGCGACGTGCTGCTGGTGGTGCAGCAGCAGGAATACCGCACACACCGCTCCGTGCTGGCCGCCTGTAGCAAATACTTCAAGAAGCTCTTCACAGCCGGCACCCTGGCCAGTCAACCCTACGTCTACGAGATCGACTTTGTGCAGCCTGAGGCGCTGGCCGCCATCTTGGAGTTTGCCTACACCTCTACGCTCACCATCACCGCCTCCAACGTCAAACACATCCTCAACGCTGCCCGCATGTTGGAGATTCAGTGCATTGTCAACGTCTGCCTGGAGATCATGGAGCCCAGCGGGGAGGGCGGGGAGGAGGACGACAAGGAGGATGACGACGACGAGGAGGACGATGATGACGATGAGGAGGAGGATGAAGAGGAGGAGGAGGAAGAGGAGGAGGAGGAGGAAGATGATGACACAGAGGACTTCGCCGATCAAGAAAACCTGCCTGACCCCCAGGACATTAACTGCCACCAAAGCCCCTCCAAGACGGACCACCTCACAGAGAAGGCATACTCGGATGCCCCAAGTGACTTCCCCGATGCTTTTCCGGCCAGTGGCCCTGGCCACCTGGGTGTGATCCGGGACTTCTCCATTGAGTCCCTACTGAGGGAGAACCTGTACCCCAAAGCTGGCATCCCTGATCGGAGACCCTCCCTGTCTCCCTTTGCCCCAGACTTCTTCCCCCATCTCTGGCCAGGCGACTTTGGGGCCTTCACGCAGCTGCCAGAGCAGCCCATGGAGCCCCTGGACAACACGCCCCTAGATCTGGTCATCAGAAGCCGCAAGATCAAGGAGGAGGAGAAAGAGGAGCTGCCCCCACCCCCGCCACCCTTCCCCAATGACTTCCTGAAGGACGTATTCCCTGAGCTGCCCGGGGGGCCGCTGGGCCCCATCAAGGCAGAGAATGACTACGGTGCCTATCTCAACTTCCTGAGTGCCGCCCATTTGGGCAGCCTCTTCCCGCCCTGGCCGCTGGTGGAGGAGCGCAAGTTGAAACCCAAGGCCTCGCAGCAGTGCCCCATCTGCCACAAGATCATCATGGGGGCTGGGAAACTGCCACGGCACATGAGAACACACACCGGGGAGAAGCCATACATGTGCAACATCTGCGAGGTCCGCTTTACCAGGTGCGCACCTGCTGCCCGTGGTGGGAGGTTGCAGGGGAGTGCTGGGCAGGGGCCAGAGGCTGTGGGCATGGCCCACCTGGGTGCTAGGGACATGGGCTGCTGGGCACTGCCCGGGTGCACTGATCCTCAGATCCTTCTGAGGAGCTTTCTCAGACACCAGGGTACATAGAAAGTGGCATAACTTGGAGTTGTTATAGGCTGATGCTGGTTGTCAAAAAGTTTCTGAAATCCACATCTCTGAGGGGGATCTTCATGAAGTCCATCAAAGAACATGTCATGAAAAAAAAAAAAGTACAGACTTCAAAAATGATAGCACTGAAATTGGCTTACCTTTTCACTCCACCTCTATGAACTTGGAGAAGTAGTTCCCTACAGTATCAGCTAGAAGCCCACACCAGAAAAGGCAGGAGCCGAGCTGCTCTGGCTGAGTCAGAGAAGAGGGCGGCTGCTTGGCCCCTGCTGGCTCAGCCTCCTTCCCAGCTGCATGTGCCTGTGACCCAGGTGGAAGGGGTTTCTCTTTTAAGATTTGTTTTATTTCTATTCAAAACATAAAACTACAGAGAGAGAAAGAGAAAGCAAAGAGATCTTTCATCCGCTGATTCACTCCCCAAACAGCTGCAATAAACTGGAGCTGGACTGATCCTAAGCCAGGAGCCAGGAGCCAGGAGCTTGTTCTGGGTCTCCCACGTGGGTATAGGATCCCAAGGCTTTGGGCCATCTTCGACCGCTTTCCCAAGCCATAAGCAGGGAGCTGGATGGGAAGTAGAGCAGCTAAGACTAGAACCAGTGCCCATATGGGATGCTGGTACTGCAGGTGACAGATTAACCTATTATGCCAGGGTGCTGGCCCCAGTCCCTTCATTTCATTCCTAGTGGCAGTGGCGGCTACTCCACACTTGGCCTGTTATGCCCTCCAGGGCTGCCCTAGGGATGCCTCCCTAGCTCTCTCCCCAGCCAGGCCTTACTACCTTAGTTCCAATCCTTAAATGTCATGGCTGAAACTAGAACCCCACTTCACCAGAAGACCACAGAGACCCGCAACAGGGCCTATCCAACATTCTGGAGCCGGACCTCAGAAACATGGCTCCTCTTACATCCATGGGGCAGAGCCGCTTGGTGCTGCTATAGAACCGGACAATCTCAGCATTATCAGCATTTCCTCTTTCATAGACTCCCTTAAAAGGAGTCCCGTGTGATTGTGGCCTCCTCCACACAGCAGCACTTGTGGGCAGCACTGATTGGTGGGATGGTACGTGGCAGATCCTACCACTGTTAACCCTTGATGGGCCTCATTTGGATAAGTGACATGAGTGGTCCCTTTGGCAAGGCTATGCACAGTGGGGAGGATTCGAACAGGTGGTCTTGCAGCAGGTGGACCCAGTGTGCTCAGAGCTTGGTGATCCTGGCAAACCCTTCCCGCATGCTGCCTGCATCCCTGGAAGAACCCACCTGGTACACATTGGTCTCATTGCTTAGCATCCTCCTGCAAATTTCTCATTGTTTAGCTTTTCCTGGGCAGGCCCCCTAAAGCTTTGTCCTCTGAGAATGCAATGACATATGATGCCACGGGCTGGGTGTCAAGCCAAGGGCTGTGGTTTCCCGAGAGGAAACAATATGGGGCCCAGCAAGCAGTGGCCCCAGTGTCAGTGATGGTGTCATAGCCAAGGCCCCCACAAACACGTCATGATGGCCTGGAAGGGCTGCCAGGGTTGTTCCAGGGTACCCTCGGGCCATGCTCACATTGCTTCTGTCCCAGGTGTTTCCCTATGATGCCGGAGGGAGCAGCAGCAGCAAGAGATATAGAAGAGTAGAGTCCCATAGCCGGAACATCCCCCTTCCTTCCTCTGGACCACCCAAGCCTTGTTGGCCTCAGCGACTCTGCTTCTGTCACTCCACAGGACATCAGACCTGAGCTCCTCCAGCCCAGTGCTACCCCAACAGGCTAGAACACCTGAACAAAGCTCACTGGCATGACACAGGGCCAGTAGACAGACATGAGCACCAGGTGAAGGCCAGATTCCAGGATGGTTCACACACCTGCAGCCTGTGCCACAGCCCACCCCCACCGGCCCCTTGAGTGGCTGCAAAGCCTTAGGCCAGATCCAGCGACTGAGGGTGCCAGCCATGCCTCCTGCCACCCCATACCTGCCCCACCCCAGGCAGATGGCTGACCCTGGGAGCCCCTCTCCTCCCTTCAGAAGAGACCCAGGCTGGTAGCTTTGACAGATGCACCCAGCCCTGCACCCCGCATCCCCAGCACCCCGACCCCCTGCCCTCCATGTCCACTTCATCGCTCTGGGCCTGCTACAAAGCCCTGGCTGGTCTGTAGGTACTGTCTCCCTAGGAGAGTTGAGCCTCAGTCACTATACACAGACAACTCCCTGTGAGAACATTCTTCACGGCCTCCCTGTTCATACAGCAGCTCGAAGCCGTAGGGAGGTGACATTTCAGAACCTTCCTCTCCTAGCACATTCCTGGTGGTCAGTAAGGTGAACTCTGAGTGCACTGTCCCCCTTCAGGGAGAGATGGACCCAGGGGAGGTTGCAGGAGGCAGCCACTCCGACCAACCAGCCATGCATCCTGCCCTCCCTTAGCCACTCTTGCATGCGGGTGATAGTCATCTGGGTCGGGGCTGTCTCAGCTGCAGCAGCTGCATTCCAGACCCCACGCATACCTCTTCTTGCACCCATGCTTCTCCCTGGGCTCTGACCCTGCAGATGAGCTCTGGGGTGTACCACTGCCCCTCCCTGTCCCCCAGACCTGGCCTCCCCAAGATCTGAGAACTACTGGGGTCGGGGAGGGCAGGGAGGAGGAGGAGCGGCCTCCCCAGGCTGCCTACCACAAGGGGCCTTATTGCTTTCTCACTGGGCTGGGGCTGGGACCACCATGTGCTGCCCTTCACTATCCTCCCACACACTGGTCCTTTGCTTCTCAGCCCTCTACAGGGCCCTGAAGGGTCCTTTGCTGGACCCATGCCCAGGTGGAGGTTTGCCCATAGCCAAATCCTCCGGGGCAGCCTCTCCACAGGGGCCTGCTCTGTCACCGTGGGGGCCTTTCAGTGGTGGTTGTCACCACATGCCCACTGGTTTGCAGGCTGGGGGATCTGCACCCTGCCTGTCCAGCCTCTGCCCAGGACTTCTAGGGAACATGGCTGGCCAGTCACCCTCCTCTGCTGCCCGGAGCTTGCTCCCCCTTGTGCCCCCTCCCAGCCGCTGCAATGCCCTCCCTGCCCACTCCTCCACCCAGCAGCCAGCCATGCTCCGAACAAGGGCAGAAGCCCAGATTGCTTCCCCATGTGCACCCCTCCCCTTATTTTCTGTTGAGTTCTCCCTCCCACCGCTGGCAGCCCTGGGAACCTGATTAACAGAATGTAATGTCATTAGCCAGGGCCGCAGGAAGAGCTCTCGGCACCAAGACCAAGAGGCCCCAGGCGGATGCTGCAGGGCAAGTGGCCTGCCCTGGGCAGGGGGTGGGGATGGAGGTAGAGGTCTGACTGGATATGGTGGACCCCAGACCCAGGTTTCGTGACCCCCACCCCTTGCTTCCATTCAGGAAATGAGCTCATGCAGACTTGCATCTTTCCCGACAGTGAGCTTTCTCTGAGCTGGAAGGGGGTCAGCGTATGACCTCGTCTGGGTGCCTGGGGAGGGGCGGAGGAAGAGGGATGTGATGGCAGACAGAAGCATCCAGACCAGGAAGGAGAATGTGGGCATTGTTGAGGCTGGGGGACTTGGGAGATTGGCCCTGCCAGTTGCTGATTCATCAACAAACATACAGTGAGCTCCCCTGATGCTGGACGAGTGTACAGGTGTCTTAGCAGGGTCCCTGCACTGTGCCCAGCAGGCTCCAGATTATCACTGACTCAGCAGACACAAATGGCCTGGAGTGGCCATCAGAGGCCCTGTCCAGGCCTGGCACAGCCTCTCATCAGCCCCATAACCTTACCCAGGTCCCCTCCCCTCTTTCTGGGAATAACTCCAAAAGATTGGCATAGGTGCTACCCAAGCTGGCTCTACTTAAGGGAACCCTTGAGCACTTTGCTGCACCTCGCTTCTTCGCTTTCTATGACAGGTTGACCACGCCCACCTCCCAGCCTACCCCGCCTCCCCAAACTGCCAGAAGTCCATGAACCTGAACCCTTTCTTACATCTGCTGCAGTTGCTTCCTTACCCATGAACTTGCTGCCTGCCATGGCATCCTACCAACCACTCTCCTAATAAACAGAGCTCTGGGAGGCAGGGACAGGCAGTGGCTCTGCAGGCAGGAGAGGAAATGACTTGTGGAATGACTCTTGTCCTGGAAATAACAGGCGAGAAAAAGGCCACTCTCTTCTGCAGGGAGCACTGGAGTGGTCCCACCAAGGGCCGCAGAAGGCACCCCACCTGCTAACAGAGCAATGTGGACACATATGAGGTCACCAGGGTGCAGGAGAGGAGCCTATGACACGTCATCCTGTGGCTCCCTCTTCCCCTCAGCTGAGGGGCAGCGTTTAGGCCACAGGTACACTAGAAGGGCAGGGATGTGGCTAATGGCACAAGACCCATGTAGACAGGACAAGGTTTGTAAAGAACTGCCCTTGAATTTGACCTTGAAGGATGGAGCATTGGGGATTGATGGCAGGAGACATTTCAAGCAGGCTGGTTTGCAACAGTGAACTTGGAGATGGAAGAAAGGGGTGTGCATGGAGAACTGGGGAAGTAAAGGGCATGCTGGCATCTGGACTTGGCCTTCTACTGGGGCCCAGAGCACGGAGCCTGCAGTGTAAAACACCTGCAGGCCCGGCAGGGACAGAGCGAAGCTTTAAGAAGTGTTCACACTGGGATATGATCGGCTCTGTGCTGGTGGCCCAGCAGTCCAGCTCATTCTAGCAGGTGATCAGAGCATGGCCTGCAAGGGGTGTGGGTGTAGACAGGAGGCTGGCAGAGTTTGAAAAGCCATGCACAGGCCAAGTCAGCCCCTGGGACCATCGGAATCCCGGCCTCCATACCTGAGAGAAGTAACCAAACACTCAATCCCTGAGGCTCATCCCAGCTAAGCAAGGGCAGAACAGCAGCTTCCAGAAAGTTCATACCCGCCCCCCCCCCACTTACCCAGTGGCTGACACTCACAACACACCAGGGGTCCCAAGGGTGCAGCACAGGGTCCTGGTCCAGTTCTCCGCTGATGCTCATGTCCTGACACCCACACGAAAGTGTCTCTGTGGCCTTGCAAAGCCATTCTCTCTCTGATCACTGCTTTCCCTGTCTGGGAAGAGTGGGATCTGGCTGGGACCCATGCTGCAGGAGGGCTGGACCTGCTGGCTGGACATGGTCCCCAGGGGGTTAAAGTGGGCCTACTGGACTGGAGGATCCCTAAAGGCTTTTTCCAGAACTGGCTTACTCTGAGTTCTGCCCATCCCACCCACCCAGTCCTCATGCCCCATGAAAGTCACCAATAGGGAAGGACGGCTCTGCCCAGGGCCTGTCATCTCCCACGGGCATTGTTCTCTTCTCATGGCTCCATCTGCACCCTCTTGCTCATCCCCAAAACAGAGCACAAAGCAAACCATTCCCAGTCATCTCCAGGCCCCCATGCCTTGAGGGTTGGGTACCCCTAGAAAGCCCTCAGAATCTATGTCCTCTACTCTGCCTCTGTCTAGGTGAGGCAATAGGCTGGCTGAGCCAGCTTTGACTCTGCACCAACCCTGGCCAGTGAGGACAGGAATCTATCCCTCACTGTACCTCTGCACAGAGAGGTCACGGAACTTCCCTGAAGGTCAGCCAGCCAGTTGCTTGGGGATCTGCAGCTGGGGCCCAAGGTGGGGACCCACCCCTACACTGTACTTTGCCTCTGAATAGTATCCACCCTAGCCATTGGCACAGTAGTCAGCCACCCACCCCTACAAGGACATTAGGAATGTCTTTTGTGGACTTGGGTTGATCACCATGGAAATGGGATTGATTTCCAATGGCCTCCTGACGGGTTGGAGAGATTCTGTGAGTATTTAGCATAGGCCTTAACATCTGCAGATTTGCTGGTTGCATTGCCTGTTCTTAAACAGTGATGCTAGGGGTCTGTTCTACCAACTCTAAGAGGGATTTGCAAAGACAAGGGGTTCATTCCTAAGGTGTAAGCAGGTGGATGATCACAAGCTGAGCTCTCTGCCAGGCCTGCCTGACATCAGTGGCCACTGAGGAAGGCACCTGGCCACCTGGCCACCTGGCCACCTGGCCTGCATGGTGCAGAGTCCCAAGGAAGCATACAGTGGCATCTCTGTAGGTGGGCAGGTGATGCTTCTGGGCACGCCCCTTATGCTTTTCACCAAGGAGCAAAGTGAGCAAAGAGACCCTGACTGCAGCCCTGAGTTCTGGTCTCAACTCTGCCAGCACTGCCAAGTGCCCTTTGCTGGGCCCCTACGTGTCCACCCACAGAATGGAGGGTCACCGTGGTCAATGGGGTCTCTGTGTGCTATCCATGGCCAGTGGCAGCAGCTGACAGCTTGTCAGCAATGCAAACTCCCTGCACCCACCTTCCTGAATCACAGTCTCAGGGAAAGGGACCCAGTGCCCGACACGTGTCAGGGTCAGCTGCCAACTCAGGTTGGATGCCACAAGCCCCCCTTTTCTGCTCAAAAACCCGACTGTCCAAAGCAATTCTGGGTTTCAGATCATGAGTGAATGGTCCCAGCGGAAGGAGGGAGGCAATCCTGCTGGTGGAGGAGACCAACTGCCACCGCCCTCCCTGTCTACCCACTCTGCCCTTCCCCCACCCCCACTCCTGCTTCCTTCTGTACCCCTGCCAGACCCACACACAGGTGCACACACACACACACACACACTTTTCTCTCCTGCCCCCACCCCTGGAGAATTCTTTTAGAAAATGAGAACCAGTGAGACCCCTAGTGGTCAGGGGACACCAGGAGCCAGATCCTAATTGGACCCTGCTGAGGTTGGATCACATGTGGCAGTGTCAGGGAGGACAGCTGGGCTCCGCATCTGCTGTGACCTCAAAACCCAGACTACAATTATAGGCTGCAGCTCCGCCCCAGTCACACCTGGCAGGAGGAGATGGCAGGTGCAGAAGGTGCCCAAGCCAGAGGGGTTCCTGCAGCCAGCCGAGACTTAATGCCCTGTTTAGGAGAACAGCCCTGCAATGCCAGCCCCCTTGCTGGACTCCCGGCAGGTGCACCATCACACTAGCTCTGGTTCTCTTCCCCCAGCCCCAGACCATGGGGACTGCCACTCTGGCTTCAGCCTTGGATCTGCACAGAGAGGTTAAATTAGCTTGCTGGAGGTCACCCAGCAAGTTGGTGATGGGCTTGCACCTGGGGAAGGGGCTCCCACTCGTCAGAGGAGCCCCACCTCGTACCATACCTTCACTCTGAATAATACTGTTAAGCCTTCCAAAGCTCTGCCCCGGATTAGGCCGCATTCCTGGTTGCACCTGGCTCTTTTGTAAAGCCTGAAATCGTCTGCAGACAAAGCCCAGAGCCCAGGCTTAGGAGAAGAAACCACAGTGTAGGAGATGCTGAGAACAAGGTGTGCCTGGGCCCCGGTGCAGCCCTTCTAGACTAGCACTGGGCACAGACAGAGCGCAGCAGCCCAGAGGGTGGGGAGCTGGGTGGGAGCAAGGAGTGGAGGGGGTCGTGGGCCAAAGCACAGGGCAGGGGGTGAGGGTAGGGAAGACTGACTCCTGTGTGGGCAGAGTGGAAGTGTGTCAGTCACGGCAGTTGCACCAACAGGGGACCAGGGCAGGTGCTCATCGCAGACACCTGCCCTGGAGAGGGATCAATGTGAGGGATGAGCAGTCAGGATCCTACCTCTTCCCAAGTGGTAATCACACGGTTCCAGGGGCAAGGCAGCAGCTGAAGGAAGTTCTTGGTCATGGCAATAGGGAACCTTGGAAGGCTCTGGATGGGGACGGGTGCAGTGCACACCCAGAGCTGGGCCAGGACTGACTCCCTGACTCTGCCTTACAGGCAGGACAAGCTAAAGATCCACATGCGGAAGCACACAGGAGAGAGGCCCTACCTGTGCATCCACTGCAACGCCAAGTTCGTGCACAACTACGACCTCAAGAACCACATGCGCATCCACACGGGCGTGCGGCCCTACCAGTGCGAGTTCTGCTACAAGAGTTTCACGCGCTCCGACCACCTGCACCGCCACATCAAGCGCCAGAGCTGCCGCATGGCGCGGCCCCGGCGAGGCCGCAAGCCTGCTGCCTGGAGGGCGGCCAGCCTGCTCTTTGGGCCCGGTGGCCCCGCACCCGACAAGGCCTTCATGATGCCGCCCACTCTGGGAGATGTGGGCGGCCACCTGGGCGGCGCCACCATGTGCCTGCCCGGCCCCAGCCCTGCCAAGCACTTCCTGGCGGCGCCCAAGGGCGCGCTGAGCCTGCAGGAGCTTGAGCGTCAGTTCCAGGAGACCCAGATGAAGCTGTTTGGCCGTGCACAGCTGGAGGCCGAGCGGAACGCTGGCGGCCTCCTGGCCCTGGCCCTGGCCGAGGACGTGGCGGCGGCGGCACGGCCCTACTTCCCGCTGCCCGACCCGTGGGCCGCAGGCCTGGCCGGGCTGCCGGGGCTCACAGGCCTCAACCACGTGGCCTCCATGTCCGAAGCCAACAACTAACCTGGTCCTTGCCCACCCCTCGCTGTCTACCTGCTCAGTCTCCTGTCTGCCCAGGCCCACCCTCCCATTTTACAAAGGGAAAATGGAAATAGAGATGTGTTCACAGCAACAGTATTTCCCTGGCCTCCAGGGCACCTGTCTCCCCTTGCTCTGTGGCTGAGACTGCATCCCATGCCACTCAGACAAAAGTGCCGTACTGGCAGGGAGGCCTCCCAGAGACAGGAGCCAGGCCCGGCAACTGGGCCCGTGTTCCCCTTACATGCCCTTGACGTTGGGCAGGTAGGCTAACCCACTGTGCCTCAGTACCATCCTGCTCTGAAGGGAGCTGGTGATTAAAGGTTCACCACACACATGCAGACACATGCATATACAACATGAACACACAGGTGCATCGAGACATGTTTGCACACAGAAAGGCAAGCACACATCAACACATGTACACACAGCTGTACACACACACACACACACACCTGCCTATCCCTCCAGAGAGAGGCCTGCAGGCACAGGAGCTTTGGGTTCCCCAGAGCACTACACATTTTCTCTCCCAGAACTTCACATCATCTCCACCTGTACATTTAAACAGACAGGAGAACCAGGGGCAAGGCAGCAGGGCTTCTCCGCTGGCCCATCCCACAGGACACTGTCCGCCTTCCTGACAGGCCCCGGGGGACCCGGCTCAGCACCCACCTCCCTGGAGCCTTCCCCAGGGCAGCCCTCAGTGACTGCTGCCTGTTGCCAGGCAGGCCAGGGCTTGTGGCTTTGCTTGCTGAGCTGCGAGTTCCTCATGGCCTTGGCACTGGCGGTGATCGGCCCCCTCCCTGTTTTGCTGTGCTGGACCCCGCTCGGCCCCCTCCTCCAGCCATGGAAGCACAGATGCTGGGTTTTCTTCCTTGGACAGGAGGGAGCCTTGGAGCCTCCCGGGTTGGAAGGGCTCAGCCAGTGCCCGCAGCAGGTGCGGAGGGGTGGGGGGTCTGTGCCTTCCTGCCCATCCCCACCCCACTTTGCCCCTCACCCCATCCTGACTTGGTTCTCAGTGCCCCCAGGGCACTCATGGGCACTGAGGGCCGGGGCTGGTACCTGCCCCCCACTACCACCTGGGGAGACACCAGACACATTCTTCCAGTTTGCCTTGGCTTCTTCCTGAGCAAACACAAACAAAAAGGTGAGAGGGGAACCCCAGGCTCTGCTCTCCCACCCCCTGGCTCCCCGGGAAGGGACGCCCTGACAAGGCACCCCAGCTTCAGACACCCTGTCCCCAGACATGGGCAGCCTGGACCACAGGCCACGCCCCCCTTCTTTCCCCATCCACCCAGGGACGGGGGCTGGACCAAGACTTCACAAGCAACAAATGAACAAATGGAATTCTGTGGTGTTGGGCTCTGGTTTTTATTTTGTAAAGGTAACGACTTCTGATAAACCCCGTTTTTTCAGATGACTGCTTAGTTTTTTTTTGTTTTTTTGTTTTTTTGTTTTTTTTTTTTCTTTTGGCTGCCGTTTGGAGTTGTAAAATATCCAAAGATGTTAGTACTGTAAGTCTGACCAAGACCTTGAAGCGCAAGGGTTGTGGGGCGGGGAGGGGCAGATGTGTTTTTGTTTTATTACTTTTTTTTTTTCGATGTTTCTATTTCTCTGTCAGCGGGAAAACTCTGGACTCTTTTCTATTTATAACTCTTTTTATGTGATTGCTCTCTGTAAAATGACACTCAACGAAGTTTGCCTTAGTAATTCAAGGGACAATCTTCTAGAACGTCGGTCGCACGCTGCATCCTGCCGAGGAAAGCCCTCAGCTCACTTTCTGGCCTATTTATTAAACAGTATTCACTGACTTGATGACGGGATGGTGAGCGTGGCCCTTCTGTAACATGTGACTTCTGCGGCTTCTCGGGGTGACCACGGGCCACCCTGTATGAATCCGGGCTTGAGACCACCAGTGGCCACTACTCAATGTTTGGGACACCTTCCCGGAAGTTCAAACCTTGGCCTCTGTTGGTGCTTGCTGAACTCCAGGCTTGGTTTCTCCCTCCAGTTCTCCCATCAGGGGACAGTTTCATGGGCAGGTGAGAGTGCTCTGCCAGCACTCTTGGGTCCTGTTCGTGTGGGGGCTCAAGGATCCTGGGAGCAGGTGTATGTGCAAGTCTGTGTGTGTGAGAGCTGGGGAAAGTTCCAGGATTGCTTGGCTGTTTTGCTAACGTAGCCAGCCCTCCCTCTCACCTGCCGTGGCACCCGAGCAGCCTCCCGCCAGTCTTGCTGCCTTTTACTTTTGCCTCCTCCTTCCCTGGTGCGGAGCTGGCCTCCTCTTCCTTCTGTCCCTCCAAGGAGGCAAGGCATGCATGAGGTCCACAGCAAAGCCCAGGGCTAACACGGGCCCATTCTCTGCTGCGGTGGGCACTTGTCATTCCACATGTCCAGGGACAGAGCACTCTGTGCTGTGTGTCCCCCTGCCATGTTCCCTTCTTCCCTCCCTCTCCGGCCCTCAGATCCCTCAGATCATTGAGGGACTGGCCTCTAACATAAAAGGAGCTTCTCCAGGTGCCCCAGTTCCAAAAGGTGCTCACTGGGGTCCCGCGGGAGGGCACACCTGCGCCATCTCCTGATCAGGTTTGGAAATGCATGCCTAGGCTCCAGTCTTCACATCAATGCCTAGAACCACTGGCCAGGTAAACTGCTGCCTAGCTTTCTAGAGTTTTCTAATGAAGTTAGCACATTCCTTAGATAGCCTGCAGCACTGGGACCGACCTAGTCTATTCCCGTTCTGTCCAAAGGCCTTTAACATAGGAGCTTGCAGACTCCATTTTCAATACATGAACTTAGGGGTAGGGGAATTCACTCAAGCCAAAGCAAAAAGGATCAACTACACTTGACGATGCTGGACAGGAGACTCCTGATGTGTAGAGGGTGAGGGGGCGGTGGCGAAGGGGGAGACTTTCCAGATTGGTCTGTGACTCCCTCCAACCTCTTTGTGGGTAGGGAGGTTACTTAGGAAGGAAACGTGTGCAGAGGGCCAAGGGCACAAGCGCTGGAACCCACAAGGGACAAACCTGGCTCCCTCTGCTCCCTGGCCACCCAGCCCGGACCCCGAGCGTGTGCGCGGCTCTCCGGCTCCCTCTGCCGGCCAAGGGTGGAAAGGCCCCAACGCGCAAAGTCCTGCAAGTCCCTGCCGGGGCTGGGGACTAACCACCCTGCTTTCTGACTCCACAGGGCTGGGCGAGGCGAAGCAAGCACTCCCTTCCCTGCCAAGGCCGAACCCCGGCGGCCTTTGCAGGGTGGGATGGAGGGAGGCTCCCCTTCCTCGCCACACCCTGGACGAGGTGGTGTGGGGGCGCTGCTGGGATCCCCACGTCACAGCGCCCAAGTGGCCTAAGCCAAGAAAGAGAAGTCCAGAGGGTTCCAATCGCCAAGGACGAAGCCTCTCCAATTCTCCCTGAAAGGTACCCTGTCACCTGTGCCCACACACACCTGCACACCGGATGCACGGACTGAAGTCACCTCCCCTTTAACAGAGTGTCCTCCCAGAGTCCTTGGTCGTCTCTGTCCTCACTCATATCCCTTGGCCAACACCAGCGTCTCAACTGGAAGAGGTATTTAAGGGAAATTAAGTCCCTCACAGAATTCCCCCAGGTCTGCAGATGGTCTTGCCAACTGCACAACCCCATCACACTTGAGGGGTGCCACTCAACCCCTAGACAGAGTGGTGTGTTTGTTCAACTGTGAATTTGCAAACTGTTAACAATTCTCCAGCAGGTGGCAGCCTCGTGTCTTGGAGGAGTTCCCTTATCTAACATGCAGTTTCCCCGTGGGCTAAATGGTAGCCCAGTGGCCCAGAAACCAAACGCCCCAGCAACCCCAAACACACCACTCCAACCTGCCCCTGGTGCCCACAGACTCCACAGCTCACACTGCCAACACCAGGCCCCACTACTTCCATGGCTCCTTCTCTGCCATCCCTTCCCCCAGCAGACTTGCACCTATTCACACCTGCACCCCTGCACGCTCCCAGCTATGTGGAGTCTGCAGCCGGCGCCACTGCTGGCAGAGTCCAGGCTGGGGGCAGAGGCTGGGAACACGTGCTGTGGGGCTCTGCCCTGAGAAGGCAAGAGTGGCCAAGGAAAGAGCCTCGTGTGGGCTGGGGGACCTCAGAACTTGCCACACAACCAGGCCGTGCTTTGCAGGTGATGGGGGAACACAGAGCTGAAAGGCAGGGGCCTGGAGAAAGCCCTGTGGCACGTCAGGCAGGGTTAGGGCTGCAAGCCAGGGCCACTGACTGCCTGCCCAGGGCACTGCCCAGGCCCCTCAGAAACAGTGCCACCTGCGGACAGAACTTGGTTGGTCTCAGCTCTCCTGTTCATCTTCCTTCTCACCCCCAGTCTGGATGAACTGTGCCAAACTTCACCACAGTGCATCCCACCGCCAGAGCGCTCCAAGCTGCCTTCCCCGCAGGTAGCTCCTGTTCCCTACAGGTCACCAGCGCCATTGGTCTTGCCCCACACTCAGTTAGCAGCATGCCTGTACTTGCCATCTGTGGAGCCCAAAACAGGGAGCTGGATGGAAAGTGGAGTAGCCAGGACACAAACCGGCACCCATACGGGATCCTGGCACATGCACGGCGAGGATTTAGCCACTAGGCTACTGTGCCAGACCCAATCATCTATTTTCAATCCTTTCTTTATATATGTGCATATACCATTGCTAAGGACAGGTCAATGGGGTCAGCAGAACCGGGCGGCTGCTTCTAGGCATGCTTCTACCACAGTTCTCTGTGCAGCCCGAAAAAGCCATCCGTACTCTCTAGCTCTGTGCTTCATCATCTGGAAAAACAAGGGGGTAGATGAGGTGACCTCCAACGTCTCTGTCCATTGTCCCACTGCAGAGGCTCCCACGCATCCATTCCCTGCAGCCTTGGAAAAAGAGCCCGTCTCCCTAGCGGAGGGCGTGCGCAGCTCTTCCCAGAATGAGGCTGCCTGCTGCCCGCCCACCGGTAGGCAGGATGTGCATAATCCAAGGCTATTGGATGTAAATATTGTGAAGAACAACTCCACTGCAAGACCAAAATAACCCACTGGAA